AAAGAAATGGAGACACATCTGTTAAAAGTATTAAAAATGAAGAGTACAGTAGATATGGAAGTTTTTTTTGGAAATGTAGACAAATTATACACATTACATACAATAAATAGTAAATAAATTAGGTACAAATAACTGTAGCTCCAATACAATCACTGTATCAAAGTCATGCTATCATCTTTCGGTTATTTTACATGTTTCGTGTTTGTAAATGAGATCACTCAAGTATGGGAAATTGCTGAGGAACAATGAATACCTCTCTGACAGTGTAATGACAAAACAAAATCGTTTACTGTGGGAGATGCAGCTGCCGGTGGATGTGTTTGGATGGAAGCAAATTAGCCAAAGAACGTTGCAGCTGTGCACTTTAATCAGCCATTTTGGACACGCTAACAACAGGATATGCTGAGGATGGGTCAAAGGAAGTGCTCAGGAACTCTCTAATGGCCTTTTTCCTGAATCAGATAATCGACATGGTTACCAAAAAAAAGTTGAAACTCAAAACAATCTAACACCTGAGCGGAGCAATTTGTTCTTGATTTTACCATGCAGTAAAACGGACAAATCTGCACACAGTCCAAGTCCACTACAACTCTTTTTGACATTTCATGTGTATTCCAAATGGAGTTTCAATGAGGTAAAATGACACACGGGCTGCAAGGGCGAGAGTGGTGGGCCGCCGTGGAGATGATATCACTCGGGCACCCACTTGAGAGGAGGATCCATTCTGGGCCCAAGAGGGCGAAGACTGTGCGTCACGCTCTCGAATCGAGCCCACCATTTCACGCACGCAGGTTTTTTTGCCTGACTCATGCGTGTGTGTGTGTGTGTGTGTACACCAAAATGCCAAATAAATAAATGAAATAAAACACAGCATGGCTGTGTGTGTACACCAAAATGCCAAATAAATAAATGAAATAAAACACAGCATGGCACACACACACACACACACACACACACACACACACACACACACACACAAAAATCACCACGGCAACGGCCGCAACATGTTGCCCTGATATTTACATGAGGGATGGAGATAAAGTCTTACATTCATACTAATGGCATTATCAATATCAAGAAATTATATTTCTAATCTTTCATTTTCAGTTATGCGGAAGTTTTGGGTGGACATTACATTACAGTGGTTTTCCCTCTTGTTTGTCTCAATAACATGGGTTTAAGATTGTTTTCACTACACCAGCATGTGATTGTTATGTCACATTTAGCTGTAGTAATGTGTATATATATTTTTTATTATTAACGTGAATTGTTATTTTGACTTTCGTTGTGATCCATCGGTGTGTGACTGTTAAGAAAGACATAGATTTGATAATGATTGTTTTGATTCACCAGATAGTTTTGACATTTATTGTTTTGACTACCCCTAAGTGTGACTGTTATATCGCATAGACATGAGAATGTTTTGACTACACCAGCTTGTAGTCATCCTGCATGAAACCATCACTCTCCAACCCATGCGTGGCGAAACAATCGTACACACACCATGTGTATGATTGTTATGCCACACATGGGTTGCGGAGTGATGGTTTTGATTACACCAACTTGTGATTTACCAGAATGTGATTCTTATGTTAGCTTTGAGAATGTTTGTGTTCATTACACGTGTGTGTGATTGTTATGCCACACGTCGGTTTCATGACTCACAAGAGCCTAATATGCCACATGCAGTGCTACATGTCAACCTATCCATCTACCCATCTATCTATAAGGTAAACAAATACTGACCTTTCGTAGCAGGAGCAGCAGCTGATTCCAAAGACGTCACCGTCGGACACAAAAACGCCTGAAAACTGGAAGCGCATAATTCACTGACACTCCCCATAATGCAGTCACTCTTTGGTTGATGACTCCAAAATATTTGAGGCTCAGAGCACCATCAGGATTCGTCTCCATCCAAACGACACCAGCACTTTGCGACGCACTGTTACAAAAGAAGCATGTTCTTCTTCTTCTTCTTCATCTCACTCTCTCTCCTCCCTCAGCACCGCTCACACACTTGACCTGACTCTCAACACACACACACACACACACACACACACACACACACACACACGGAAACACCCAATTTGACACTTTGAACAGTTGCTCAAGTATTATTGGAAATGATGGTGACAAATGGGCGTGCACACATGCACACAAACGGTTTCTCCCACACACGGACACACATACATATACACAAATTCGCACGAGCTTACACACACATACACAAAGCTATTTTAATTTCAGGCGTGGAGGAATTTACTCCCAAGGATTTGTGCTATGTCTCTGGGTCAAAGTATGCATTTATTTCTTAGTGTGGGTCAATCAAAAAAATAAAACCCAAAGTAAAATAAAATAAACGTATATTCTAAGTTTCTGTGTCATACTGATATTCTCTTTCCCTTGCACTCCATTTTGGTCCAATAATAACCCTCCCTTTCCCCGCTGTGCTGACCTCCTTCTGCTGACCTCTCCCTTTCTCTCACTCTTGAACTTTACTGCCACCAACCGTTTCACCTCTTCCACTCACAGCTGTTTGTTTTTTTTTTTTCAAACATTCTGTTTATTTCCACAATTGCACGTTTTTCCTTCTCGCTGCTTTATGGTAATAGGAACGCGTGTAGGCGGTGAAACGCAAGCAGCCTGGCCAGGTCATTTGCATGCAGCTAATAACAACAACCCAACATTGTGACTCATCCGGAAAAGTGTAGGGTCCAAAGTGTACACAAAATTAGCATCTTCTTCACTTTTTCTTCAGAGCAAAAACAGCCTCAAAGATTTAACTGTCTTCTTGGAGGAATTCAGAGTTTAAAGACAACGTTAAAAAACAAGCACTGTGAAATAATTTTTAAAAATGATGAGGATCTATTCTTATCTTCTATTTTGTCCGTAAATGTATCTAATTCAAGAATAAAACACATAGGTGGACTTACAAATTCAAAAACTATCTCCACAATGGCAGAGTTTACTTAACATATTTTGTAAAATCACAATGGCATCACGACTGCGGTTGTTGCCATTCGATGGCGGAGACGGTTTTACCTAAAACGGCCACTAGAGGGCGACAGGCTACAGATTTCCCATTGGAAAAGTTTTTCATTGAAAAAAAAAAAAGAAAAGAATAGTTTTACTGGCTATGACACAAAAGTCATGTTGACGCTTGAATTTACATGCTAACCTGGAAACAACGTGAGTTTCGAAATGAACGAGTTTTCAGTGATAAAAATCAACTAAAGGGAAAAAAACTAAACAAAACGAAAAAGCTGAGCATTTGACCCATTTTGCACGTTTGGGAAGGCAGGGAGTGAACACCCAAGACTAAAGTCAAAGGCAGATCACAAGCTGCTTGACATGCAAGCGCACACAAGCACGCATACACACAAAAAAATTACCAATGCAAGCCGCGCACTCTCTCTCTCTCTCTCTCTCTCTCTCTCTCTCTCTCTTACACACACACACACACACGCACACACACACACAGACTCACCCAGCACACATGGGGTCATAGAGTACGCTGACAAAACTGCCAAGCCGATTGCATAATACAGCCAACATAAAGGGGGCAATGGAGATTTAGAGCTCTCTCTCTCTCTCTCTCTCTCTCTCTCTCTCTCTCTCTCACCCTCGTGCACCCAAACACTGTATAAAAAGCGTTTAGACGTCAAATGAGGTTGTTTGGGCTTCCAATTAATAATGAATAAGTAGTTTTGAAATCAGAGGCCCCACAAAAACAAAACAAAAAAAAAACTCGAACATGTTTTTATTTATTTATTTCCAAAAAGTACCAACTTCTAAATATTTTTGGTGGTATGCTTAATTTTAAAAACTCACTTGCCTTTTCATTTTAGTTTTTTTTAACTTATTTTTAATCAAAACAATCTAAACAACCATATACATTTTTATAAAGCTACATGAAAAATCGTTTAAACAATTTTCAACATGTTTTATTGTACTCTTTATATTAGTCGTACTGCGTTGTATTTTAATGTTTCACCAAAGTCGGGGAATGCTTAATTTAAAAAAATCACTTGCCTTTTCATTTTTGTTTTTTTTTAAATTATTTTTAATCAAAACAATCTCAACCACTATATACATTTTTATAAAGCTACATGAAAAATCATTTAAACAATTTTCAACATGTTTTATTGTACTCTTTATATTAGTCGTACTGCGTTGTATTTTAATGTTTCACCAAAGTCGGGGAAAGAAAATGCGAAAAGACAAGACATTGATCCTTTCAAAGGCGTCTTTTTATTTGATAATATGGAATACTTCGGTCCTTTTTTTTTTAACCGTTTGTACACAAAGCATCAGACACATGCATGGTGGTCTATTATTATCATCATCATCATCATCATCATCCTCATTATTCACGCAAGAAAAAAAGAAAAAAAAAAAAAGAAAGGAATATTCTCTCTTCACTCTCACGGTGCTCCAGCGCAAGAGGACCTCGCCTCGACGGCTAAACACATTTTTTTTAAGACAATGAATGGAAAAACAGTCAAAAACACACAAAACAGTTTTGAGTTTAAATTATGCCTCTAATACTCCTTTTCCATACAAACAATCACTTGCCAATTTATCAGGTTCACTTTGAAGAAAACCAACAAAGCATTCCTCATTTTGAGGGGGAATGCTTTACCATTTATCGAGATGCAGTGGCTTTTTGGGGAAATTATGAACACTTCCAAATACTAATCAGCCAGAACTAAATATTCAGGAAAGAAAAATAAGACAGGAAAAGCCTACTAGAACATCTGAACTTTATTAGCGGCTCTGTAAATAGCGGGAAGTTTGAACGTAAATTGTTTTTTTTTTCTTTAATTATTTATCTTGGTGTCAATTCATAACAAAAAAAAAATATTTGAACAGGGGTGTGTACATTTTTTTTAGATCCACTGTATATTTTGGAATGTGTAATTATTAAAAAATGGGTGTTAAAATACATTTAAAATGGTTCCAATCCATCTCGTTTTGTTGGTTTTTATCTCAGGGTGCAGTACCTTTTAAACTGGAAAGTGCCTGTACGCAATTTTGTTGTTGTTTCTTTTTTTCTAAGCTCATTTCTTTGCATATAAAGCAGCGCTGTAAACGTGCGATCTAAAAGGCGGTGAGAAAGCTTTGGCGAGTAAGTTGGTGGGCGAAAAGACAAGCAATGCCACACTGGGCCCTCCATACATTGGCAAACGGTGAAAATGCATGTACAATCAATGAAAAGACACTAACATAAGCCATAAAATAAAAAAAAAATTAAAAATCCCTTTTTTGTCACTCAATTCCTTTCACCAAGGACCTGCTGTGGGGAGGCGTGCCATCAACATGAAAACACAACTAATACGAATTGTAACATCAGTGTTCAGGTCTTTCGGTAACGCTTCCTCGCCAAAAAAAAAAAAAAAAAAAAGTGCAAATCTAGTTAACTAACACTGTAAATAATTCATAGAAATAATACTAAATGCTCAAGTCAGGACAAAATGACAGATGCATAGCTGCTGTGCAGCTGCAGGGTGAGACGCGATTCGAAGGTGACAGGCTAGTAATGCAATTAATAGTTGATTTGAATACGCTCCTAAAAATATAACACTTGTACCGTTATTCTTGCTCCCATTTAACATGAAATTCAGTACAAAAGTTTCAACAAGAGGCTTAAGAAGCTCGGCGACTCCATTGACACAGTTGGATCATTCCACCGAAGAATCAACTGACATGTCCCCGTTCACTGATTCGAGTTGGCGGGACTCCGATGACTTGGTTGCATCGATCCGCCAGTCGGAGGATTAAGAAGATGTATCACTTCACAGATTGAGTCGGTGGACTTTGTGACGCTTTTGTATCGCTGGACGAACTCAAGTTAGCAACTCGGGTGACTCCGTTGCACCGGTTCACTAAGTTGAGTTGGTCCACTAAGATGGTATCAGTTCACTGACTTCAGTTAGCTGACTCAGAGGGGGGAAAAAAAACCTTGCGGGCTCAGATGATCAGTAAAATTGATTCGACTTAGTGGACTTGGATCATTTTTACACATTTGTCAAAAATAAGCCTCTCATTTGAAGTCGGTTCACCCTACTTGATGGAAAATGGGAGCAAGCAAATGTGTATCTTTCTGGTCGTGTACACACACACACACACACACACACACACACACACACACACACACACACACACACACACACTGGTCCAGTGAGTCGTTTGTCACCAAACGAAAATGCTGAATCGGGTTGTTTTGAAAGAAGACGAGCCTGACGTGGGCGTGTTTCAAAAAGGACAAAAACACAAAATAAAAAAAAAAGGCAACTTGGAATTTTTGCTTTGGATAAAATGGACGATGAGGTCATTGAAGTGAATCATCTTGCACAGCTCGGGGATGGATTGATTTGGACTTAGAAGAGCTTCAGAGGAAGTGCTCCATTGCTACGAAAGAAAAAAAAAAACGAAACAAAACATTGCGTCCTCCTGACGCCAGCCTCAGGAGGAAAATACATCATCACTTGACCAGTCTCATGCTTCCAATGCGACAACAACAAAGAACCCTCATTTGGTTTAAAATGGACACAGAGGCTACAGATTCTTCTTTTTTTCCCCCCCACCTCTAAATCGAAATGGCCTGATGATGTTTTGTTTTTTTTGTTTTTTTACGGGGTACGAATCGATACTTTCAGGCCGGAGCGGCGGGGCCTCCCCTAGGGATCCTCCGCATCCAGGAACTCTTTTTTGGGCGGGGCCACGCCGCGGTACCAAGAGCAGGATCCATCGGCGCGCTTGACGCAGGCGTAGTGGTTGGCCTGGCGACCGTACACCTGCTTCTCGATCATCAGGTCCGTCCACAGGCACTCCTCGGGGGCCGAGATCTCGCAGGGCAGCGAGGGGCAGCGCACGATCTGAAGCAACCCCCCCAAAAACGGACATTTTTTTTTCTTCTTCATAGGACGCAGGAGAACGTCGCAAAGGACAAGAAACCTTGGCCACTTTCGGCGAAAAGGGCCAACTCCAAAAGTTCCAGAGCGCGTCACAGATCCTTGGGGTACTCCCAAGACCTGCGTGCTAGAGGTGGCTAAAGTCCATTCAATGCCACTTGTAGCTTTAATTCTTACTTCTTTTTACGCTAAGATGCTCAAAGCAACTGCATTGGGTGCGAAAAAAAAAAAAAATTCGCGTTCGCCTCTTACCTTGCACTCGCAGCCCATCTGATAGCGCTGACTGAGACTCTTTTTCTGGGTGTTGCTCAAGAAGTCCCAGGGCATAATGTAATCGCACAGCGTCACGTGCATCTGCCCGCCGGCGTCGGACTTGCCTGCGAAAAAGACAGCGGACAAGCAAAACAAAATCAGCGGGGTTTTTTTTTTGGGAGGGGGGGTGTTCTGCTTTTGAAACATCCGCAGAGTTTGCAGGATTGTCATCTGCGGAGCGTGCCGCAGCCATCTCGTTTCATAGATGGACACTCCTTGCAGCTGCAGGGAAGATGAGTCATCCCACATCAAAAAGGAATATTAGGGCTGAAACTGTCTGAATGCCTTTTTTTGGGGGGGCGGGGGGGGGGGAATATTTGAGTTCACTCCAGAGGTGTATAGAGTTCCTATGTGGTCTAATCAATAAGGGACGTTAAACGTTGCTTACTTCACTGGATATAAACACATTTACTTACATTTACTCTTGCGAGGTTTGTCACCGATTAATCAGAAATAAATCTCCACTAATTTGATACTTCCGAATTATTAATCCCTGCACCTGCAGTATCGATCATTGCGGGATTCCCACGATTTGAGTTCAAGGAGTACACACCGGAGATCAAGTACTCCTTCTTGCCGCTGGTGTCCAGGGTGACGCCGCACACGGCCGACATGGGCGCGGTGAAGATGGTGTCGATGTCCTGGTTGGGTCCCTTGAACATCTACGGCGCAAAAAAAAAAAAAAAAAAACGCCAACGTTTCAAGGTGAAGCTTTGCGGCCAAACGCGCACAAACCGTCCGATTGGCGAGTACGCACCTTGATCTGTTTGACGTCATACTGAATCCTCTTGATGGGGTTCCCGTAGATGTCGTTGCCGGAGTCCACCTCACGCTCGCCCACCACCTTCGCTCGGATCACTGTGAACGAAAACACAGTTAAAAAAAAAAAAAAAAAAAAAACGAGTGGAAAAAAACAAGTCGGTTGGAAGAGTGACTTTTCCATGCCAGCGTGACGGTAAAGGCGGACAAAATGAGCTTTAGTGGTCAATAAACATGACATGGGGGTGGTGGGGGGGTGAGGGGGGGGGTTCTTCGAGATGCATTTGGACTGACACTTCCTGTTTCCAGACATGAGGAGCTGAACTGCAGACGCCATACGATGACTAAAAAAGGCATTTCATTCTACTCTATTTAAAGAACCTGAAAGCTGAGGCGAACGGTGTGTGCGTGCCCGTGTGTGTGTGTGTGTGTGTGTGTGTGAGACGACTTCCAGCTTCAGCTATGCTCACGCCATTAAACTCTCAATGGAAACTGTGAGCAAGAGAGTGAAGGGGGGGAAAAAAAATATCCCAAGTGGAGAATACACATTCAGACACACTCTCGAAGTTTATTTTACACACTTTTTAACGTCACTTTTAACTCCACCGTTCCCTCGGAGGGGGGGGGTCAGACGGATTGGGATCGTCAGCACGGCGCGGTGCTTGAATGAGAAATTAAGCATTTCGTACGGGTTGAAGAACGCTCAACTTTCTGCACTCGGAACTGTGGGCAAACCTCAGCGTTTTCAGTTCCACTCTGCAAACAACACACACACACACACACACACACACACACACACACGAGTGTAGTTGTACCTGGCTGGCGCTCTGGCTTGCATTCCTCTCCGTTTCCCCCCACCGCTCCCGCTTCCTGACCTCATTCCGAGTTGGGATTCTAACGAGCGGAGGATCGGAAGCAGCGGGGGCGCGAAGCTGACAGGAAGTTGCTGTTAAACTCACAACGTCGGCAACGCGCGGGACGCGGTCCCGAACGAACGCAGTCGGCCACACGAAAATGACGAACCGCCGAGGATGAAGGAGACCGCCTGAATAGCGGATGAAGAGCTCAGAGGAGAGAAACCGTCGAAGATGAGAATCATAGAGAGACTCAAATATAAAAATATTGGAAAAAAAATGAACTATAGAAGATGTAACCTATAACAAAAGACGAATCAGACTCCAGGAAGACGACGCAAACCCTTTCAAGACGACGAAAGCTTCGAAAACAAAATGCTAACGCCAACGGAAGACGCTAACCGTCGAAGAGGACGACGCAAACCGCGGCCGGCCGCGCAAACCAGATGAGAACAACACGAGCTGTCGCAGACGCAAGCTGAAGAAGAAAACTGCGAACCAAAGAAGTGGTAACATTGAAGACGAAGCAAAAGCAAGCTGGAGAAGACGCAAACCATCAAAGACGGGAATGCGAGTAGGACAATATGAACCGAAAATGGGACTTGTAGATGAACTCTAGAGGGGAAAAAAAAAATCCAAATAAAAACATTTTTGACTTGATAGCTTTTTGCGTTTGATTTGAGCTGCGCTCTTCAAGATGCCCCCGGCCAGCCCGGCCGGACTTTGGACAACCCTGATCCGCATGATCTCACAGTCACGTCGACAGACTGCAGATCAAACACCACAAGGTCACGTGATCCGCGCCAGGCCCTCCAATCCCAACAGAAAACCACCGAGTGACCCACATTTCGTTTGTTAGCGCTCTCAGGATGCGGCGACATGACTCAGATTTGGAGCAACTTTTCCATGCGCAAACCACTCGGCCCGCCACCACCGTGACGAGCCTCGGCTTCTCCCGTCCGCCGCCACATGTTGAGCCAATTACATCAGGCTGTGCTAAAGCGAAAGCGTCAGCAGTAATTTCCCCTCACGTCAGCCGTATTCCGTCTGCAGCGCTAATGCGCAACAGCGGCGTGTGAAACAAACACCTTTATTTTGAAATTCCGCACCCCGTTTTGGACTTCCTGCTTTACGGCTTCAGCTCACCAAAAGTTACAGGAAAGCTAACCACGCGAGGCAGTGGAGCGGCCCTCGAGTGTCTTTCGTGTACATTTGTTTGACTGCCTTTTCTTGCTAACTCTCGCAATTCTTTGTTTATCGTCTGTCTGGCGGGGCAGCGGCGCCCTCTGCCCCGCACAAACAACAGTCAGTGCGACAAAGTGGTATTGTTTTTGAAATCATTTCTTTGACATCCTCTTCTGCTGACGACCCATCGAGGTCTGTTCCGGTGGTAAATCCGAATAAACCAGGAGGACACGGAACACCTGGATGTTGATCTCGGGAGATAGCTTAAACCAGTGATGTGTCAGTTGGATACTGGTGAAGGCTTAGCTTGGGTCCGCGGAGCCCCCGCACCAAAAACGACACTTTGAGCGTGTCATTAAAGTGTATAAATGAACCAGTTTCGTATTCTTGCCCGAGCCCTGACAGTACGTTTCTGCGATTTACTGCCACTTCTCCCCGTCCTTTCTCTGCCATGTGGCGCAGACGTCCCAGAAATTCCGCCTAGCGACAAGCAGCTCGCATAACCTTGAGAGAAGCTCTGCCGCACTCAGGAGCAGGTTAAAATTGTTTTGTCACTGTCGTTTGCGGCGGCGACGGGGGCGGG